AAAAAACAAAACGAAACAGCAAGAAAATAAGAAAAAATAAAAAAAAACCAGACTCCTCACAAATTGAGTCGTTTGAGGCGTTGATTTGATTTATGCCAAAATAGACGAGCTGCCACGCCCCCACCCCCCTCCCCTACCGCCTACAACAACACTGATATACGATATGATCAATTATGTGTGTGTGTGCGTGTGTCTGGCAATTAATAGCCAGCGGTCGTCAGCCCCGAAGGTGGTGTAAATTTTGGCAGTGTACCTAATGGGATTTATGAGCGTGCGATTTGTAGTAGGCGTCTTTAATTCAATATATTTATGTTAAATATCACACGAAGCACAATCGGATAAGTATTATTAATTGATATAGCATCTGTATAAATGATTAAATAAATACCAAATCAGACATGGAATAGATCTATTAAATAGATCAAACTTTATGAACGACTTTGAACAGGTTCTTGCGAGTTCTTGAACTTTGCTTTTAAGGAAGGATCTCCGCCACCATAAAGTGTATATATTCTTGATCAGCATCAATAGTCGAGTCGATCTAGCCGTCTGTCTGTATATAGATATTAATGCGTCGATCTCAGAGTCAATAAGAGCTAGAGACTTGGAGTTGAACGTAGGTCCTCCAAGTGCCAGCATAGTACGAGTTATTTCCGATAAACGATAACTGGTCCCGTTTCCAAGAAATCGATTAAAATCGTTATCGAATCTTGTTTCTTGTCAAGAGCTAGAGTCACCAAATTTGACATGTGCCTGCTTGAATAGTATATTCAGATCAAGTATCTTACATTTTGTAGAAGAAGGTTCAGGGTATTCCCTAGTCGGGCACTCCCGACTAGAGCACTCTTGTTATAAATATTTGCATTAGACTTCTTTATTATTTTATTAAATATATATATTTATTTATATTATTTTTGGGCATATCAAATTGAGAAAGATCAGACGCGAGAATTATTTTGCCAAAATTGGAATTCGGATTTCATCTTGAAGATCGCAAAGTCAGCAAGTTCTGTTGTAATTCAGCATTTTGTTGTCCCAAATGATTTCTCAGCTCTTAAAGCACGCTCTGAATTATTCCAAGCGAAATTCTATCGAACTATATAATGGGTTTGAGCTATTTATGAGCACTGGGAAAGGGCAGCTACAAGTTATTAAAGAATTAATTATTTACCAACTGTTATTATGAGGACAATCATCTATAAAATATATACAATCATATATAAATATAAAGCATTAATTGCAAGTTTTGGTACATTTTGAAACTAACTTTATTTAAATATATTTTAAACATTCGTTTTTAAACATGTTGTGCTCTTGTTTGAACCGATTTACCTTAAGTGAGACGCTTGATACTCGAAAAAAAAACTTCTATATTCGTATAATCCGAAAAGAATAGATATTATTATTATATTTTATTATATATTAACATATATTATATTATTCAACAAACTATTCGGGCTTGATTACGCGTTGACAATTTGAATATTTAATTGATTTTGTATACAAGAAGGAAATCAATTGCCACATGGACATATTTATTATTTTTATTTTTTTTTCTATCACATATCTAGAGATTATTCTTGAACAATTCCAATTAGAATTTGCTCTTTAAATTCCTACTTTTTCGGTTATTCCATTTGATATGTTTGGATTTCTCGAAACTATGTTTCTTGATCGTTTTTTTTATTTTTAAGAAACAAGTTCGATAATTGTATGTATAAAGTGAAAATTATTCAAGCCCCGCTGGGATTTGATATCTGGCAATTTTAAGCGGCTATTTCCAATCATTTTACGAAAATAGCTTATACATATGTATATGCATATATATATTATACGATCCGCAGTGTGGTATTTGGCATTTGGGCTATAAAACAAAACAGATCTGAATTGATATGGGGGCACTTGAGACGCGTAAGCGTGTAAGGTCTGAGGTTGTAAAGAGTACTTCTAGCGGGGCTTACGATAGATAAGATTTGTACAATTGAGAGAGAGAGAGAGAGAGAGAGAATGGGGCATTTAATTTATAATTAAGATAGTATAAGCTAAGGTAATACAGCTCGAAGAGACCATAAATTATGGTCAAGCGACGTTCAGGCTAAACAATCCGATGATTAAAGGCTGCTCGCACCTTAACAGAAGACACTGAAAACGAGTGTAACAGGTAGTCAGCCGGTTCGAATCCATGTGCACATGTGTATCTGTGTGTGTGTGTGTCCTGTGTGTGTATTGAGTGGTAAAGTATGTCTGGCGAGCTGGAAAATCCATTGATTGAGCGCTTAAATGTATCTATCGATGGCATAGATTGAAAGCATAACGAAAGGTAACAGATACACACACACACACACACACACACACACACACACAGAGAGACACCGCTGTGTGGCCACAGGTAGTTGGGCAGCCTGTCTGTCAGGTAAGGGAAAAGTCTGTCAGTTTTGTAATTACTGCACATTATCAGGGAGACGCGTCAGGTAAATAACAATTTGAAGGCAAACATCATGCAGTGAAAGCAGTTGCCGATAATAAAAAAAAAAATACCAAAAAGATATAAAAAAAAAACACATTTCTGTGCGTCTGCGTCTGCTTCTTCTTTGTAGCTTAAGCACACGTACACACACACACACACACACACACAGAGAGAGATATGTATGTATGGATCTGTGTCTGTCCGTAACTCGTTTCTTTGTGCATTGTGCAGTCCAGTGGAGCTGGGCGCTGCTTTATTTCACTCAATTGACGAGTTCCGAGAACTCTTCGTCTTCAGCGTGGAGCGTTACATAAATACACACACACACACACTCGCTTGCATACATACCTGTATATATATACACACACACACACACACATAGGCACTTATGAGGTATGCGATGCAGTTGCATTTGGTTGCTTTTCGACCAGCCTGACTCGGGCTGCCCAGCTTGGGTGCAGTTTGCGCTGCGGCGTTGCCAGACTGTCGCCAGACGCAAATTTGCATAACTTAAAGCCTTAACGAGCCTTTCGTTTGCTTCAACAAGTCGTAATTAGTTTTAATTTGGTACTTAATAGCGTTGCCAGACTGTCTAAAAGTGCGTTTTTTATATCTTAAGTCAGACAGTTCCTCGAAAAACAGCCTTAAAACAGAAGTGCTTAGCTTAGTATCCCATTCGAGTTTCAGATTAAGCTGCGCAAGGTTGCCAGATCGCTCAAGAGCCCTCAGTTCCTTAAAATTTGAATATGTGCCCAATATCATGGCAGCTTTTAAGCTCACAGCTAACGAATGCATTCAAATTATGAAATGTCTTGTATAGAATTGTCTTTAAGCTGCACAAGGTTGCCAGAAGGCTTCAGGATTCTTTGTTTTAATGAAAAGCTATGTATATGTGCGCCCAAAAGTTGGGCAGTCTCTTGAAAGATCGCCTTGAAGCCTTTAAAAAATTTAAGCATATTATCTCAGGTTGCCATACTGCTTAAGAAACACTTTGCAGCCTGAAAATTGCAGGCAGCTCCTGTTAACTTAACACCGTGTTGCCAGACCTCGTTGAATGCCCCCAAAACATGCTGCGTGTCCAGTTAAAGCTCAGCTTAGCAACAATTAAATAACTAAGTCAGCAAATTGCGTTGCCAGACTGCTTGCTGTTTATTTGTTTTCGGTTCGGGAAATTTATTTGGATTAAAAAAATAGAATAAAAAAAGAATGGCATGGATGCATAACAGGCCTTCATGCTTATGGTTATTTAGCGACAGATTTTGATTGGAAAGAGAAATTGCTGAGAACAGCTGAACGAAATTCTATAGCTTAATTAAATACCGCTAGCTTTAGTATTAATTGTCAAATTAATCGGGCTTGCCGGATTCCCATAAACGAAATTCGCATCAGTTGCGGCAACTGCGAATGCAACAGCATATGTCAGCTGCAGTTGCCGCTGACAGTTTTCGGTGGCAAATGTAAATACCCTATTAACTGATCTTTAAGCAGGTATATATGTAGTACATACAAATATGTTTGAAATGCGTTTGCCAGTTGTGCAGCTGGCAGCCCAAAACTGCAAATGCATTTTAACAGCAATTGGCATGCTTACGCACACACACACACACACACACATGCGCACATATATATGGACATGCATAGGTATTGGCCAAGTCCAAGCTGGGCTAAGAAAATGGCGACATTTGGCAGTGGCATCAACTGAGTCATGGCATGCCCCCGCTTCTACCCACTACAACCAGGCAAATGCCACTTGACCCCGCTGCTGCCTTAACTAACCCCCAACATGGCTTGGCTATGTGTTTGTGTGTCTCAGCTTCCAGTTAGCGCTTGAGTCTCGGCTGCGCGGACTCCACTAAATCATGTTTATGTTGCGCTCTCTCAGCAGCAGCAGCCGCAGCAGCAGCAGCGGCCGCAGCAGCATAGAAAAACAGGTCTGACTGCAGAGACAAAGGCAGAGCGCGTCTTTATGTGTGTGCGTGAGTGCTGCTGCTGTGTGATTGCGCGCGTGTGTATGTGTGTGTGTGTGTGTGTGTGCACTCAAGGCGCGCGCTCAACAAGATCCACCCCAAGCAACAACATTTACCTGAGCTCACATGAACGACGCGCGCGCTCTCTATCACTCTCACTCGCGCGCTCGTGCGCTCACTCACTCACACGGTTGTTGGCAAACGACTCAAGCGCAAGAGACCTGCTTGCCTGCTCTCGCACGCTCTCTGGCGCTGGTAAACATTTGGGCTGTGTGCGCTCTCTCTCGGCGCCCGTTACTCCAAAGTTTTGGGCTCAGTTTGAATTTTCTATTCGAAGAGTGCGCTTACTGCCCGCTGCTGCGACGGCGTTTAAAATACAGAACGAAATACAAATACAACAACAACTGCCGCCAGTGTTATTTATTTATTTATTTTATTTGTATTTTTTTTTGTCGGCCCAACATAACAAGAACAACACACGCACACACGTTGCACGACGCTCTGTTGTTGTTGTAGCACGTTCTTCTGCTGCTGCTGCTGCTTCTTCAATTTGTGTTTTTTTTTTTGTTTGTTTGCAAGTGTGTGTGTGTGTGTGCGTGTGTGTGTGTGTGCTGCGGAGAGCGTCGACTCAAATACACTCGAGGGAATTTGTTCAGATCAGTTCAGCACGGAGCAGCGGCGAGTTGAGCCTCCACGAAACAGTTACGGCTCATTACGGCCCGCCAGATGTGCATATGCCCTGGTGCATTCTCGAGCCAGAAACTCAAGCGTTATGTTGGACAAGTGACGTGTGAAGCGCAGCAATAAAAAACAAACTATACACAAAACGACAACAATCAATCAATCAATCAATCAATCGATCAGTCGATCGATCGATCGATCAGTTCATCAATCATAAACAAGCAAACGAAAGGAAAAAATCAAACGAAACTAAACGCAACTCGTTTCGACACACATCAATCAGCAGTCAGTCAATCAATCAATCAATCATCAGAGCATTGAGCAAGCAGCCACAAAATGTTTGATGTATTCGGCTCCGTCAAGGGGCTACTGAAAATCGATCAGGTCTGCATCGACAACAATGTCTTCCGCATGCACTATAAGGCGACGGTGATCATCCTGATCGCCTTCTCGCTGCTGGTCACCTCGCGCCAATATATTGGTGATCCGATCGATTGCATCGTGGACGAGATACCGCTGGGCGTTATGGACACATATTGCTGGATCTACTCAACGTTCACGGTGCCGGAACGATTGACGGGCGTCACCGGACGCGATGTGGTACAGCCCGGCGTGGGCTCCCATGTGGACGGCGAGGATAAGGTCAAGTACCACAAGTACTATCAGTGGGTGTGCTTCGTCCTCTTCTTCCAGGCGATACTGTTCTACGTGCCGCGCTACCTGTGGAAGTCGTGGGAGGGCGGACGTCTCAAGATGCTCGTCATGGATCTCAACAGTCCCATTGTGAACGACGAGTGCAAGAACGATCGCAAGAAAATACTCGTCGACTATTTCATGGGCAATCTGAACCGTCACAATTTCTATGCGTTCCGGTTCTTCGTCTGCGAGGCTCTCAACTTCGTGAATGTCATCGGTCAAATCTATTTCGTGGACTTCTTCCTCGATGGCGAGTTCAGCACGTACGGCAGCGATGTGCTCAAGTTTACCGAAATGGAGCCGGACGATCGCGTCGATCCCATGGCGAAGGTCTTTCCCAAGGTCACCAAGTGCACCTTCCACAAATACGGTCCGTCGGGCAGCGTGCAGAAGTTCGACGGTTTGTGCGTGCTGCCGCTGAACATTGTGAACGAGAAGATCTATGTGTTCCTCTGGTTCTGGTTCATCATCCTGAGCATATTGTCCGGCATATCGCTTGTCTATCGCATTGCCGTTGTGGTCGGACCCAAGCTGCGCCATCTGCTGCTGCGCGCCCGCTCCCGTCTCGCCGAGAGCGAGGAGGTCGAGAAGGTGGCCAACAGGTGCAACATCGGCGATTGGTTCCTGCTCTATCAGCTGGGCAAGAATATCGATCCCTTGATCTACAAGGAGGTGATAGGGGATCTCTATCGCGAAATGGGCGGCGACGGTCAAAGTCCGCAGAAGCAGCCGTTCGAGGCCTAAGCGACAGTCGGAGTTGGCGTCGGAATCGGAGTCGGAGTCGGAGTTGGAGTTGGAGTCGGAGCTGGAGTCGGAGCTGGAGTCGGAGTCGGAGTCGGCACCTGGGCCACCCTGTGCTAGGCCAGGCAGCGTGCCAGCGGCCGTAAGTTGAGCTTAAAACCCCAATTCCCCTTTCCCTAACTCAGACACACACATACACACACACACACACCGACAGACAGACAGCATTTGTACTAGCAGTAGTTACACACACACACACACACACATACATACCACGCACATACGATCTTAGCTTACGAACTGTAAATCTCTTACAGAGAGAGCGCACGCAAAAGAGTTAGGCGTGAGAGTGAGAGCGCGCGCTTAACAGCGTCTGGCATGCAAAAGACATTTAGCCTTAGTTCTTAGTAAACATTAGCTCTTAATTATGATACCCCTTTTTTTTTTTTGATCTGTATAATTTGTATGCTTGATTTATATATACATTAATTTTTAGTTGTAATTATTATTGTCAATATTTTTTTAAAACAGGCTACATAAAAAAAAACAACTGCAGTTGCGCCACGAACAACAACAATATCAATAAACGACAAATACACAAAAAAAAATTTAAAAATCTAAGCAAAGATAAGCCACGCGCTTTTAACGACAGCTTAAACTTTAAGAGCGCTCGCTCTTTACTTTTAACAGCGGAGAGAGAGAGAGAGAGAGAGAGAGAGAGCGCGCGCGCACACGACACGCACACGCACACGCACACGCGCACGCACTGCTGGTCTTACGCGCTCATTTAAGCGTAACGCAAGCAGCTCAAGTCGGCGTTCGCCTCGCTTGTGCGCATTTACGCAAGCGAGATGCCCGCACAGACTGCGACGTTGCGCATGCGCAACTGGAGAGGCATTGTATGCCCATCTCGCTTGCGCACCAAACAACATTCCAGACTTGAAGTCTTTTTTTTTTTTAGTTTTCTCTTTTGTTTTTAGTTGATTGCTGAAAGCTGCTAAATCTGCATGCGAACTGGTTTGACCAGCCAACGGCATAGATGAGGGGCACAGCAGCGGGGGCAGCAGGTAGCCGCAAGTTCAGGGCAATTGCGAGGGCGCATTTGCCAACAAGACAAATGATCTGCCCCGAAGAAGTTCGTCCGATAATTAAGAGAAACATCTTAAGAGATAGGCGCGCGATCCGACACAGAGCGACATATTCTACGATAGATTCCTGAAGGCACGACTAGTTGTATACCCTGCTAGGAAATTAAATTATAGAAAAAGTGCAAAAAAAAGACTGTTAAAGTAAACGTTATGCGGATTTTTTACAAAAATTTCTATATACATAAATATTCATGCATTTTTGACAGCTTTATTTATAACCTACTCATACTCAGAAACTGTTAAAGCTAGTGTAGAGAAAGTTCGTATATGGAAATTTGGTATGTGGTCTCTTGTATATAAAGGCAAAAATAATTGTATGTCAAAGAGAGATCTAGACATATTCATACATTCTCATTAAGTTCAAAAACCATAAGAGCTAGAGCATAAAATCTAATCTTTTTCTTTTATATGACCTCAAAGAACTCGGGAACTATAAGAGCTAGAGCTATGCAATTTGGTATGTGGTCTCTTGTATACAAAAGCAAAATAATTAGATGTCAAAGAAAGATCTAGACACATCCATATAAATATTAACATATCCCTCTTAACTACCATTTCTACTGCGGCCTGCTTGTGTCGTGGCGTAAACTAATATATCTTGGAATGAAAAAAAAAAAAAAAACTACTCAACCTTTCAATTTGGTATATTTCTAATCAGACGTTGGAAGCAGTTGCTCAAGTGTCTGCATGTTTACCATGTCGTATGTCTTATTCTTGTGCCGCCCGCTAGCGCACCGCCCCTGGCCCCGCCCCTTGCCCCGTGTCTTCGGTCTGGTCTGTTGGCTTTGCCTTGCGTACGCGTTGTGCGTACATACAATGCCAATTAGAAGTTAGGCAACATCTATTTGGCTTCTTCCGTCTGCCAGTGCGACACGCCTTATCTTATCAGTGTCGCTGTTGCTGGCCCCCCCTCCCTACCCCCTCACCCCTCCACAAAACCCCTTACTGCCAGCCAAACGACAGGCACCCTAAATAACAATCCGGCCTCGTTGATAAGACGGCAAAAAAAAAAAACGACAACAACAAAAAAATACCAGAGATGCTGATGTCTTGATGGTGATAAGTGATAAAGTGTTGTAATTAGCGCACATTTTCCACGTCGCACGATCACAGTTCAGCGATCACACACACTCGCACACACACACTTGCACACACACACACACACACACACACTTGTTATTTACAAATAATGCAAGCGAAACACATAAATAGACACTTAAAAAGCATTCGCGCAGAGTTAGCGACTAACAGCTACCCTGTAGACCAGTTAAATAGTATTCCTGCAAGACAACACTGCTGACATGTCAGTTAGCGCGTCATATAGGCGCATGACAAGGCTTTAAGAGCATCCGATTTTTGATCGAAATTTTTTACTGCTTAGTTAAAGTTGCTTTAACAACCTTTTATAGAACTAGCTTCTATAATTCCCGAGTTCGGATAGGTTGTGCAGATGTACGAATCGTCTGTTATCCTATGCGAAGACTTTTCTATTCGAAATGTAACTCTCTGAAGCGTTTAGGCGTTTCTGCTGCCTGTTGGTACAACTCTTTTATAAGCACCAATAGGGTATACTATGGCGGAAAGGGCGGAAAAAAACAGACAATTTGTGTGGGTTCCATTAATCCGCCCCAACCCCAACCGCAGTCGACAATCTCATGATGATCACACACATTGACATAAACTCTGACCGCCAATTTGAGGTATCAATGAATGGACCTTCCCCCCGCACAGCCTCCACCCCCTCCCCCCCCACCTTTCACCGCCCTCCCGTCGGGCTGTGGCAAACAAACTGTCCTATAGATCGTAATGGCAGCAAGTGAGGAATGTGAGAATCGTTTTTGAATGTATTCATTGTACTCGTTGTACGCGACATGCGAGTATTCACTTTGTTCTATGAATGAGAAATGGAGGCAGCCTTCAGAAAAAATTTGTTTGACACGCGAAAAACGAAAATGAAAACGTTAATGAAAAACACAAACGGAGGCATTTGAGACTCAACAGTTGTTGTTGTTGCTGTTGTTGTTGTTGCACGCACAAATGAGTCGCGCGAATATTCACAAATGTATTCATTTGCACAAACGCAGAGTCTCATTGCTATGGAACATTTTTTTTTTTTGTATTTTTTTAATTGTATTAATTACTTTCAATTAGCTTTAAGGCAGCCCAGCAATAGCTGCAAAAGATCACAAGCATAGCCACAGATAATTGCCATTAATAATCGTCTCAACAGCGGCAAGAAGAAGCACACATTACGTATACGTACGGCATGAAAAACAAAAAACAAAAAACAAAAGAAGAAGAAGAATAAGAACATAGCAACAATTTATGACTTTACGCGACCCCAGGCCAGTTCAAATTTCTACAATTCCACAAAAAATAAATATATACATATATATAAAATATATATTAGAGTTAACATTAGTTCAACTCATTTAAAAATGAATGATGTCTGCTCTATTTTTTTTGTGTTCTTATTTGTTATTGCAGTTGATTTTGGGTTTTGTGCACACAGAAAAACACTTTTGCAAATTTTATATTATTTTATATAATTAATTGCAATTTAAAGTAATTATTTTTTGCAATATGCAAAAGCTCGAGAAAAAAAACTTTATATTGAAGAAATCATTTTTGAATATCTAAGCGCCTTTCATATATTTTACTTGATTATTAGTTGATTATTATTTTTATTTATTTATTATCTTGGCTCCAGGTTCGGGTTTTAATTTATTTAAATCAAAAATATAAAAATTGAAACAATTTTATTTTAATCTTTTTCTCTTTCCTTTAATCTTTAGATTTCCTAAAAGGTTTTTAAATACAATAATTAGCTAAAAATTGAAATAAAAATATATACAAAAAGTTTGTTAAAAAAATAACTTTGTAAACACGAGAAAGTTTGAATATCTTCGGCAAGCCGAAGACTTAATACCCATTGTAGACATTTGCCCTTTGCGGATGTGTGTGAATATGCGAAAGTATCTTGGAAGACAAAATATTTTTCCTACTCTTCGACCGATCTTGCCTATGGCAGCTATATAATATGGTGGACAAATATTGTTAAGATTTCGAATATGTATGATTATGTCCAAAAATGTCGAGTTTGGTTTCGAGATATCTTTGAAAGACAAAAGAGTTTTTCAATCAAATACGTACAAATGTTAAGTTGCTGTCAGGTTCGAACTGGCGACTTTCCGCTCGCCAGCTCGACGCGCTCACGCCTAAACTCAACAGCTGCGCGTTGCTCACCAAGTGAGTCATTTAATCGGCACAAATTCTTTTGCTATGTAGTCAACATTATTTTGTTCAAGTGTTTTTCAAATTGTTTATCTTTCAGCGAAGATCTTTTCGCTTCAGCAGAAGTCATGAGTTGCTCAGCTGCACTGAAAATGTGTTTTACTCATTCGATTTTTCTCTGTCTCTTTCTGTTGCAGTTGCACGCCGCCAAAATGAAGGATGATGTATTGAACAAGGGGGCGTGGCCAATATTTAAGACATATCAACGAATTCCATGCCAAGCGCTTGTGTTTCACATGTTTTGACCGATTGCAAAACACCTGAAAACCAGAGAAGAACTATAAGAAGAAGAGGAGAATAGAATTATATGAAAGGAAAAACAAAACACGATACACCCACAAAACGATGAACGCCCACCTCCCCCCCCCCCCTCGTCAAGCCAAGGATCAGGCAGCTGTTTGGAAGCCAACGACAATCATGAATGGGCTGCTATAAGAATTGAAACGGTAAAACTATAGGAAGCGTAACAGGAACTCTAGAGATGAAAACAACAATAAAAGACACGCGCAGAAAAGACAAGTGTTGAAAAATGTTTCAAAGACAACAACAACAACAACAACAACAGCAACAACAACAAAGTGCAAGCATTTTTTATACAACAATTTATATACATATATACATAGTTTTTCTCGTATTTTTCGTATTCTACAACTAATTGGAAAATATTTTTTATAACAAATACACACAGACACACACACACACACACACACACATATATTACTACTACTAGATATATAGATATTATTATTATATATATGTATGTCTATATATATATATATATATATGATGCGAATGCCACATGCGATGAATATTTATGCTAAGAGTTGTGATCATTGATTAAGCAGTTTATAAAGTTTATAAACAATTTGAATAATAAACAAAAAACAAAAAGCAAGCAGCAAAAAAATAAATACTTTACGAGCTCCACTTGCAAAAGCAAACAACAACAACAACAATAAACAAATGCAACAATAATAATTATATAAATGCAAATAATTATTAATCAGATATATATATATCAATATATCAATATATATGAGCACACATTTGATGATAATTATTTTATGAACATTTTTCGCCCATATTAAAATATGCTTAAAAGTAAAATTGAACAACAATAATAATTATTTGAATTATTATCATTTATATAAACATATATATATTTTTTTTAATTTACCATTTTTTTTTTTTTTTTAGCAATTTTTTCGCCAGCAATTTTTGTCATATAATATATAAATATAATAAAAAATCTTTTGTAGCATTTATTTTGTTAGTTTTTAGCACATTTTAGTTTAGCGCAATTTTTTTTTTTTTGTTTTATTCAAAACGAATCAGCTTGAAATAAACATAAGACATATAATATTTATACACAATTTTGTATAAAAAAAAAAAAACTAAATGAAAGACTCAAAAGCAATATTTAATAAAAGGAAATATAAGAAAATAAAAAGAATTTGAATAACAACAAAAACGTAAATAAAAACAGCTTGAAATTTCTTTTTTTGAGCATATACAAATTATATAAAAATATTATATGCTTATATAAGTATATGAAACGTAAAAGTATGTAAGTGCGCGCAGCTTGATATACATACATATATATATATACATATATATTTTTTTTAAAATATCGATTTATCGAATTATCGAGTGTGTAAATGCGCCACAGGCCGTAAGCTAAGTTTTATATAAATAAAAGAAAAATAAATAAAAAATTCAAATACGTATTTTTAGTTGGGCAAAAGTGCAAACAACAAAAGCAACTAAGAAAATAGGAAGAAAATAATTCCTAACTATCTTATCTCCGCACACACGACTGCCGCTTCCCCTGCCAATGCACCTCGGCCCCTCCGGCGAACTGTCGGCCCTCTCTTTGCGACAGTCGCACATGCGCAAACAGAACAGGTGAACCCAAGCAACCTGTCGCCGACCTCTTGGGCAAACATAAATCCAAGCAGCAGGCAGCAGGCAGCTGGCAGCAGTGATTGCGACAAGACGAAGCTCAAATACCCTGTAATATGAGCGGAAGCTAGCCGGCGGTAAAGAGCAAAAATTATAGTAATATAAAAGCAAAAAGAAGGAAATGACCAAAATAATGAGTGTTAACTGTAACCGGGCAATGCCGTCCAATTTCTTAGAGCATGCTATATAGTAACAAATAACCGGGCAATGCCGTCCAATTTCTTAGAGCGTGCTCTATAATAATAAAATCTTAATCATTGTTTTAAGTGAAGAAGGGAAAATAATGTTGGTTAACAATAACCGTGCAATGCCGACCAATTTCATAGATCATATTACTAATTTTCTCATCTCCAGCTAACTCCTTGCCTTTAGCTTCGCTTTAGAGTCCAGCAATTGGAATAATGCCTTGTACCTAGCCCTCTTTTTACAGGGAACAAAGATGCGTCTTTCATGGGAAACCAATGATGCGCTCTAAAGGGCCTTAGATAAATTAAACATATAGCAGAGTGTAATAAATTCTGAAAGCAAACAGCGCTTTCCATGAAACAAAGCACAGGTCGAGCGTTTGTGGCACTTAAACAAATCTTTGTCCACGCTGTAAGAGCAAGTACAGTGCACGCTCGCTGCAGTGTACGAATTAGTCGGAAGCACTTTATTTAACACTTATTCTTAGACATAAAAAACATCCAGTAGCTCACATCAAACTTTCTCTGTCTATTTTCCCAAAGTTTTTCATATTTTTGAAGACTTTTTTTTTAAACTAGGAAGTTGGATTGTAGTCAAAATTATAATATTTCGACCTGATATAGACATTCGTTCACTGTAGTGAGTGTGTTCTGTATCAATTCTTTAAGGCTGCAGCTATTGGATATTTTTCGACGCTGCGCTTAAAGAACTTTATGGGTCTTACATTCTTAAAGGCTTGCATCACTTGTACGTTTGTTCACTACAGCGAGTGGGTACTGTACTTTTCTATATAATCGATTTTACAATTTAACATAACACACGCGTAACTAATGTAGGTTTAAATTCTTATATCCACTTATCGAATGTATACTGTATTTTGTCTTTGATCTCTTGCGAGCACGAGATAAAGAAATGATGATTTATAGTCAACTTTATTAACTTTAATCCCAACAACTTCTACTCTGCGTAAATATGCCTTTTAGCGTGCGTTTACTGTATTGTGAGTTAGAACCAGTGACTTTTTCTTCGAATTTGACACTTTTTCAGCTCTTTATTACTTCTAGGCTGGTTTGCCCAGTGCAAAGTTGCCTTTAGCCAGTGTGCACTGTGTTTTGGTTTGGCTGATAAGTTTCTAGAGTTGTGGTTTGTCACTTGTCCGACTTGCGGCTCGAATAGATGCCAATGAACTGAGTCGCATCCAGGCACGTTTCAGGCCATATTTTGCTTTGAATGAGTCAAAAGGTATTGTTTCTTTCTTTGTAGTTCCAAACTATTTCTGGAGCACGATCGTCATGATCCGTGTGACGGATCCCGAGTGGAAAATCTGCGAGATGAGATTATCAAGCAAATGGAAATCGAAATCGGAGTCCGACTTCGGATGGCCTACAGCATCGTATCGGATGACAACTGCGCCACAGTCGCCGGAGTCGCCGGGGCCACTCGTGCCATTATTCGAATATTATTTTATTTGTTTACGCCGAAGTTCTCAGTTCTCAGTTCTCAGTTCTCAGTTGTCTGGCTAATATTGCCGGCAAGTATGCCAATGCAACAGTACAGCTCGATTCCCAACCAAATACTTGTGTAAACATAATGCAGTTCAGCTCGGATTATATCAAAATTTTGCAGATGTATTGCCCGTTGAAGTCTTTCATTATTTTCTTAATACTGGGCAGCAGTCTTTGTTCGTAGAACTCATCTGAGGCCGACTTCTCCTCTATTTTATAAGATTACAAACTTTAGAGCTGTGATCATGCTCCGATCTATACTGAATACCTCATCAGACTTCATAATTTATATATATATATCTTCTTATATATATATATATATATATCTTCTTAAAGTCCCTTACTTTTTCATCTTTAGTAAAGCCCTTCCAGGCTCTTCAGATTCTATTGAAATTCAGCTGAACTTGTCTTATAGCTTTTTACGATTCTTCAAGTCTACTTGATTCTTAGAAACAATTGCTCTTCTATCTATCCAGTTTTTTTTTTTTTGTTTGCCTACGTAGCATTTCATAACGTCATAAGCTTACGTGACGATACAATTAACTGCACTTAAAATAACTGTAATGCGAGCACTACGATAACTTCCTGTTGGATTTTTGTGCATAATATGACCCAAGCGAACCAAATACCTGAAATGTAATCCAAGCATATTTACCTCAATATATACAGACATTACGTAATGGATATCTATATATATATAAGCAATAACTGAGTACTGGTTTCTTTGCTCTGTTATCGCAACACTGTTAAGGTAACAGTCTTAATGTTAATGTTATAGTCAAGTTATTTCTTAATGTTAATTTTCACTGTAAATTTGTATTCTTCATTTTTATGTGAAAAGTAGTTAATAATGAACCAGTTCCCATCGTTTGGGAACAATTTCTTTTTGCGGTTTACTTAGGGTTAAACAATTTGGTAAGCATATTTGAATTAATACATTTGATAGTAGCAAAGATATGACATTGCTTGAGATTTTCAAGTGCGTCTGTAAGCTAACAGAATGCTTGTTTCTTTTCTCTGTTATCGTAACACTGTTAATGTCAGTGCTCATGACAATGTTAATGCTATAGTTATGTTAATTTTTAATGTTAATTGTTCATGTTTACATTGCGAAAGTTAATTTTTATGTGAAAAATAATTAACAATGAACCAGTTCCCATCGTTTAAGCCTCAGTTGTTAATTCATGAGTTTGGGAATTTGAATAATTCAATACCCAAATTGGAAAATAATCGAAAACTGGTTAGTAATGCTCTTTTGTTCTTAGTCCCATTCACTACGAACACATTTATCACATTTATCACCGAAGTGAATTAAAATGAAGTATTTTTTGCGCCGGGTAATGCTCAAGCATGTGAAGCGCTGCAAGTCTACTTGCATTATTTGCCAAGTTACACATCAAGTGACGAAATGTAAATACCCTGTGCGTGTAGGGTATACGATTTGCCAAGCATGACGAAAAGAATAGAAAGTGTGGCAATTGGCTAATCAACCTGATACCGCGTGCATTGCATCTGAGATAACGTCCAATGGAAACTAGCAGCTAAGCATGCCGAAGCGCCCCTCCCGTACCCAGATGGGATTGCATCTGCTTGGTGTGTGTCGTCTTTGGCGATTGTTCAAGCAAATTAGCATATCAAATTGAATTAAACGCTGCAATTGTCCAGGCGTGCCCTCAATAAATAAATAAATAAATAAATATTACGACACAAGACAAGCGAAATACAAGTGGGTTACGGAACTCGGAACGCACACAACCAACTGCAGAGGGCTTGGGTGGCGGTGGTGGACGCAAGTTAGGGTCAACATCAAGTCAGACATTGCAATTGGAATGTGAGAATCGCACGCGAGTTTAGCAATTTACGAGCATTACTAGTGTGTGCGTAAGACGAGTATTGCAAAACAAATATCCATAAATATTGCCTATGCAAAAGTTGAATTGATCTACTTAAGCTAAGCGAGGCTGGCTGAACGGTTAAGGATACGGCACAAAGAGAAATCGAGAAAAACCAAAAAAAATTATAAAAGAAAATTACAAAAGTGTCTTCTCAAGCTCAATTACAATGCTTTTAGCACAACGTTTATTCACATAATTAGATGCAACAAAAAGCAAACTATTTGCAGCAAAGATGAAACGTTTAAGAATGCGTAACTAAAGAGAAATAAATTAAAAATCAAAAGCTATCGCGTGGGCTAAGATGAGAAAATAAAAAGAAAAACTTGACAATCTCAAAAGCAGCGCTGTCAGTATAAGCTTTGAGGATGCGAAAGAAGGAGGAGGGCTGCTCAAAGGAGCCGCAACGGTGAAA